GCTGATCAGTGTTGAGTTTGCAATCAGAAGCTGATGGCCCAAATAATTTGACAAATTCAGGTCAGTCAGCCCAGAGGACAAGTAAAATATAAAGATGAAGTTGTATTTACTAAGACGTAAAATCTCATGTTTTTCTTTGTGACTCACCCAGACATTTCTCTTTGGCCCTTCTGTCATCATATCTCTCCCTCTTTTCTTTTTTTATGCTGTAAAGCTTGTCTGTCTGTGCAGTTTCTTTGTTCTTGCTTTTATATGTATTTATATAAATATTTTTTCTTTCCCTGAAGCACTTTTGTCTCTTTTCTGACTGCGCTTGAAAATTACTTTCTGTTCTTTAACATCTATCTCTTTCAGTTTGTTCATCAGGTCAGACGTTTTGCATCTAGCACATTTTTGAAGCTTTTTGTCTGACCACATTTTTCTCTTTTTCACCATATCTTAAGATGTCCATGGTGTACAGGTGATCTGATAAAAAAACAATTGGCTGACCAATTAACCAAAAAATTTTCTAAATAATTTTCATCAACCAATTAACCAACAAACTGACAAACGGATCAACTATTCACTCAACCAACTAACTGAACGATCAAGCAAACAACAAATATCTGGGATTCAATGTCATTCAACTGAAAAAACTGCAGACTTGACTMTAAAACAGCAGTTTGTCCACACAAAATCTATCACAATAAAGAGAGCCATATAGTAGATAGTGAAAAAAACTGATGCAAAATGATTTTTTCTCCCAAATGCTCTTCAAAAAGATTGTTTTAATTTAACCCAAAGGTCTATCCATTGTGATTTTATGTATAATTTTAGCCATAATTTCTAGGTTAAATAGATCTGAWCCCCAATATTGTTCAAGTTTTTCAGATAATTTTGTCATACTATGTGTGTGTGTGTATTTTAATCCTGTTTTTCTTGACAATTTTTCGACAATGACTCAAAACTGAACTTGCATCACCATAAGGTAAGGGGGCTGGGGGGGCATAATTCTTTTGATGTAAATCTTTACTTTAAATTTTTACTTGAAGGGGTGAAATTCACCCTAAGGCTGAATGATATTCCCCCGAGGGGCATGCAGTGTACTGCTACTCATCTGACTCAACTGTACACATTAGGCAGCTGTTCTTTCTTTCTTTCTTTCTTTCTTTCTTTCTTTCTTTCTTTCTTTCTTTCTTTCTTTCTTTCTTTCTTTCTTTCTTTCTTTCTTTCTTTCTTTC